GTGATGGACACAATATCCTCAAACTTCCCAGCCTTGTCTTTGTGTTTTTCCTTTCCTTCCTCCTTTTCTAGCTTTTCTCCCTCTGTTTCCCTCTTTCTGTAGGCTCAGATAAAGCTCTTTTCCTGTCCTCCGAAAACTTACAACCCTTTTGATTCAGAAACTCTCAAGACACCCATGTCAGCTGCATCCATAGGATTATTAATAAACCTTCAAGGAGCATTTCCATCAGCAAGAATTATTTCCTGAAAGGCTCTTTGGCTTCAAGAAACTCCTCTGGGTTTAGAGTGACACTGTAAACATCATCATAAAGATCTGTATATCATCCAATCTGATCTCTTACCGGATGTTTCTGCTGGGTTTTGAGCTAATCTTGTAGATTAACTATGAATAGAGACACCAACCCCTGTGGGATGACAAATTGACCAGAAATGGGAAACTGACTGTTCAGTTTGGTACAACCAGAAAGGACAGCTTCCTGAATATCTCAATCTCCAAGCCTGATGACGTAGCCACCTACTTTTCTGCCAGGTAGGGAGTGCCCCCCAAGTACCTGCAGCCTGTACTCACACTTGCAGCTGGGACTTCAGTCACTATGCTACCTTCAGCTTCTGCCCCTCTTGGTATGCAGGGTGATTATGCAAGCAACCTATGCCCTGTCATTCCATGAATGCAAACTCTCATGTATTCAAGGAGTTATCTTCCAAAGATTGGGTTCTTTGCCTGGTAAATATCCCCCCTGCCATCTCGTTTTTAATGTGCATAATGGATTTACTTACTTGTTTCTGTCAGGATATAAGGAGAATTGATCAACACACAATCACAGTAGAATATTTTAATATATCTCTCTTAAAAATAGATATAAATGGAATAAAATTGGAAGTTTAGGAATAAACGACCAATTGATTTTCAACAATAGTGCCAAATCCATTCAATGGGACAAAAGCATAGTCTTTTCAGCAAATGGTGCTGGACCACTGGATAGCCACATGCAGAAGAATAAAGCCGGATCTCTACTTCACACATGTACAAAAGTTAAGTCAAATGGATTAAAGACCTAAACATTAACAGCTAGAAATACAAATGCTTAGAAGATTTCATAGATGTAAATCTTGGTGACCTTGGATGATGAAACAGTCTCCTAGATAAAACCCCAAAAGAATAGCAACTGAAGAATAAATAGACAAATTGGACTTTATCAAAATTAAAACCTTTCTGCATCAAAATTCACAATATTTTCCACAAAAGAAAGAGAAAAGACAACCCACATAATGGAAGAATATATTTGCAAATCATGTGCCTGATAAGGATCTAGTATCGAGAATATATCTTCTAAAACCTTACAACTCAACAATAAGAAAACTGTCAATTGAAAAATGGTCAAATGATTTGAATAGTCATTGCTCCAAACACATACAAATGGCCAAAAAGCACATGAAAAGATGTTCAACATCATTATTCATTAGGGAAATGCAAATTGAAACCACAGTGAGATGCCACATAACACCTACTAGGATGCCCATAATTAAAAAAAAAAGAAGAAGAAGAGAGAGAGAGAACTGGAAAATAATAAGAGTTGGTGAGGCTGTGGGGAAATTGGAATCCTCATCCGCCACTGGTAGGAATGTAAAATGGTACAGCCACATTGGAAAACAATTAGGCAGTGCCTCAAATGGTTAAACATAAAGTTACTGTTTGATTCAGTAATTTACACTCCTAGAAATAAATCTACCTAAGGGGTCTACGATATGATATATTTCATTGGCCAGAACCATGTAGCCAGCACTAATTGCAAGGGAGGTTTGGAAAGAGAGCATTTAAGTTACCTAGCCTCTGTCAGGGAGATGAGCATGAAAGATGAGGACTGGGGATAATTGTTGGTTTAACTATATGAAAACATCTGGCACATCATACCAGGTCCTCACTCCCCAGAAGAGACTCTGATGATACTTCTTGATATGTTTATTATTGCTATTACCCTAACAGCATGTGCCAAAGAAAGCTGACGTCTGTAAAGAGCTACACAGAGCTGGCTTAAATGCAATACTTGTTTTGCTCCAAAAAACATGCTGTAGATTTTCTTCCTTGTGGGTGTCCTGAGGAAAATTGATATCTCTCAGAAGGATGTTTCTAAAGAAAGATGGTCCAACGATATGGGCAGTTCCAGGCAGTTTTAAAGCTAGTGGCTTTCATATCTCAGAAAGATCATCATATTCTCAAACGTCAATAAGAAATTCACTTCCCTCTCCATGAGGAGCAGTTCCCTGAAGATACTGCCCAATATTTCTACGAGACCCACACATGCACATGACATAACCCTCAAGATCCTACGAATGTTTTAATTGAGATAATGCTTTCACAGCTATCTATAGGGTCCCTAGCTCAATTCCATTCTCAGGAACTTTCTCCAATCATCAGGGACATGCAAATCAAAACCACAATGAGATATCACTTATCTCCAATGAGAAGACCCTTTATCAAAAAGCCCCAAAACAATAAATGTTGGTGTGGATGCGGAGAGATAGAAACTCTCAGACACTGCTCTCAGACACTGCTGGTGGGACTGCAAACTAGTACAACCTCTGTGGAAAATAATATGGAGTTACCTCAAACAGCTACAAATAGAACTACCATTTGATCCAGCAATCCCATTACTGGGAATCTATCCAAAGGGGGAAAAAAAGACATTCTATAAAAGAGACATCTGCACTAGAATGTTTAAAGCAGCACAATTCACAATTGCAAAGATGTAGAAACAACCCAAGTGCCCATCAATGCATGGGTGGATTAATAGAATGTGGTATATGTACACCATGGAGTACTACTCAGCCACAAAAAACAATGGTGATCTAGCACCTCTTGTATTATCCTAGCTGGAGTTGGAGCCCATTCTACTAGGTGAAGCATCACAAGAGTGAAAAAATAAGCACCACATGTACTCACCAGAAAATTGGTATTAACGGATCAACACTTAAGTGCACATATAGTAGTAACATTCATCAGGTGTCAGGCAGATGGGAGGGGGAGGAGGGGAATGGTATATTTACACCTAATGGGTATGGTGTGCACTGTCTAGGGGATGGACACACTTGAAGCTCTGACTCCAGTGGAGCAAAGGCAATATATGTCCCCAGACATTTGTACCCCTATAATATGCTGAAGTAAAAAAATAATAAAAATATCAATGAGTAATGAGAGAGATGTGCACCATCTGGGGGATGGTCATGCTGGAGACTCAGACTTTTGGGGGAGGGAGGGAAAGGGCATTTATTAAAACCTTAAAATCTGTACCCCCATAATATGCTGAAATAAAAAAAAATTTAATTAAAAAAAAGAGAGAAAAATATATCAATGAGTAAGATGTGCAACGTTTGGGGGATGGTCACGCTTGAAACTCTGACTCGAGGGGGGAGGGGAGCATGGACAATATATGCAACCTTAACACTTGTACCCCCATAATACACTAAAATAAAAAAATAAAAATAAAACATAGTTTATTGCTGGGCAGCATTCTATTATACGGGTATAATACAATTTGTTCATTCATCTACAAAATAATAATAATAATAAAGAATAAAAATGGGTATTAACTAATCTAATACCCATTTCTCCCTAATACCCATAATAACCTTTCTCCTTCTTTCCCCATTCCCAGTCAGCTATAGGTAGGCATATCTGCCATGCTAACTTTCTCAGTGGTTAAGCTATATGAATCATTTTATAGCAGTCTTTTTAAAGTGTGGTTTAGTATTGAGGGTAAAGTTTGCCTTATTTAATTATATAGGCTCCTCAGTTCCTGGCACAAAGAAGATAGTCAATAAAAAATGCTAAATGAATTAAGGAGCAAGATGCTAATTAGTTCTCACATCTGTGCTACCTGACACACAAGGAAACGTATAACTAAAAACTGGGTAAAAGTCATCAACCTTCGTGGAAACAGTACAGACTATATTCATAGGCAATAATAGAGCATGTTATCATTTACTTATGGTGTTGTCAGACCTGTCAGTCTCTTACTTCATGCTTCTGGGTTTTGTTTCTTGTTAAAGATCTGGAGAATTAGGCCATATAACTACTGTCACAAAAAGGTTGGCTTGGAAACCAAGTGATCCATCACTTTATCTCTACTGGGAATTCAGCTTTTCTGGAATGCAAATATATTTGTCTTCACCTTGGGATCCGTACTTCCTAACAAGTAATTTTTTTTTTCAGTGATCATCTAGATCAAGCAAGAAATTATTAGTCATCTTAGACATGGGCACCACTGCCTAGATAGATTATATGTATTTTACTAAAAATAGACATTCCTAGACAAGACAACAAGCAAACTACTTAATAACATTTATGGAGTGGAATGTAACCAAAGCTATACTCCAACTATATTAGTAAAGTAAGCTAAGTTATTTTAATAAAGATATGCCAAGCATGCAGAGACTTAAAGAACAAAGTTTATTTGTCTCTCTTGTGAAAATATGGAGTGAGTATTTAGGTCAGCAGATGGTTCCTCCCTACATGATCTTTGAGGGACCCAGATTATTTCCATCTGGGGACTCTACTGGTCACAAGCAGGGTAGTGTCTTGGCCCTGCCATCCCAGGTGACAGTTAGCAGGTAGACGAAAGAAAGAGTATGGAGCAGCAATGCCCACTCCCTTAAGGATCCTGGACAAGAAATATAGAATGTCTGACTCACAGAGTTATGGATAGCTTTGGATACTCTATTCTTCAATAGTAAGACAATTTTAGAAGAATCTGCCGTCATTGGTAAAACATGTGGATCCAGGTTTTCAGCTGTCCTGCAGCAGCTCACAAGATGGCAGTGTTCTATTTGGAATGAGTCCTGTGGGTGCTAGAATGGGAGGGATTTGAATTTGAGCCAAATGATACTCTTTTTCGGATTGGCTGAATAACCAGATTGCTATTTCGGTTTCTGTGTGTGGTGTGTGTGTGTGTGTGTGTGTGTGTGTGTGAGAGAGAGAGAGAGAGAGAGACAGACAGACAGACAGACAGACAGACAGATAAAGAGGGCGTTGGTTCAAAAAAGAGAAAAAAGAAAGCTTGGAACAGTGAACTACGTTTGCCCAGGAAAACACACTTGAGAGCTGAAAGATGGAGAACTATCCACAGGCTTCACTAGTGATCTTTTGGCTTCAACTGAGCTGTGAGTAAGGTTACTACAAAGGGTTAGGGACAACCAGAAAACCTGAGGATTAATCCTCAGAAAACTAAGAGGGGGAAGTAGAATTTATTCTGACTTACCTGGGAGCCCTGTGGTCCTGATGGAGAATAATTATTCTTTTTTCTACACAGGGGTGAGCAGTGAAGACAAGGTGGTGCAGAGCCCCCCATCTATGGCTGTCCATGAGGGAGACAGTGCAACTCTCACCTGTAATTATGTAGTGAGTTACTTTCGAAGCCTACAGTGGTGCAAGCAGGAAAAGAACGCTCCCGTATTTCTGTTTACACTGACTTCAAGTGGGATCGAGAAGAAGTCAGGAAGGTTTAGTAGCATATTAGATAACAAAGAACTCAGCACCCTGAACATCACAGCCACCCAGACCGGAGACTCAGCCATCTACTTCTGTGCTGTGGAGGCACAGTGCTCCGCCGGCACCTGCAGCCTGTACCCAAACACTACAGCTGACGCTCTGCAACTGTAAGATGGGGAGCTTACAAAACTGTGCAAAAATAAGCTATAAGGAAAAGTGGCTATTGGTCAAGATCCTTGTGCCCATGTTGACAATTACATAGGAAGTTTACTGAATCCTAACTCAGACTGAGCCAAATCACTGCATTCACTACTTTCTCTGTGATTTTCTGGGGGATTTAACATAGCTAATATTTCTAGAAGGTCACTCATAGGATGCCAACTCCATCACTACATCATTATGACCTGTGGTAGAAAGAAAGCCCTTTTATCAGAAGGTACAGGCAACTAGCGTGTGCACTGCCCGCCAGGGTCTCTGCCCAGCAGTTGGGAAGTTTCATCTTCCCACCCAGAACAGACACATTCATAGGTAGAGTTCTGCCTGACACTTTTCCTGTTGGACCTATTAGCAAAGAACAAAAGGTGGGAACAAGCAGGTATCATTATTTGATTCAAACAAAGACTTTTCCTTCCCACTTGGTAGTATTCTTATTTATTCTTTTCATTTCAGGATTGTTGCCTATTCTGGGCACTTCGTAAAAGTGGTGATAGAATTTTCTCAAGATATTACACAGTAATTTGAACACTTAGTACCTTAAGCAGCCTCCCAAAAGAAAAGAATTAGCTGAAGTGAATTATGCAAAATTAACATAAAATTAGCTTAGTTACATTATGGTATAGTCTTTCAAAGAATTGTATAATCATATATATTGTATTTACAGAGAATGTGCAATGGAAGCTACTGTTTGTTGGAAGCAAATACTATGTGTCTTGTACTTTGTAAATATTAATTACCTCATTGAATTCTGAAATTCAGAAATTTCAGAATTCTGAAATTCAGAAAATAACTCTGAGGGATCATTAGCATTATTTTTAGTTAACAGGTTAGGAAATGTATACTCAGAAAGATTAAGCTTCCCTCAACCCTGCCTCAGACAAGTAGCTAATGGAGTCTGAAACCAAGTCTGACTCCAGATGCTATGCTTTCTCCATTATATGTCTCATGTTAAATATTACAGGAGAAAAAATTTACCCACAATATGACCACAATCATGTACAAAAAATGTATACAAAACACTGGAATAACATTTGTTTAACATGTGAATAGAGTAACATGTTCACAATAAAATGTGAATAAAATAACACCAAAATGTTTGCATTAGTATTCATTGTCTTTGATTACTGGATGTAAAACTGTTTGTTGTTTTTCTGCTTTATAATATTCTTTATTTTTCAAATTATGTACTCTGAACTCAATAACAAGCATTATTTTAGAACTATAAAAAATACAATGTGCTTCATTTTAAAATACCAAAATCCAAGTAGCTTGAAATGGCATTATATGATTATTATCTGACACTCACTGTTTAGCTCAATTTCAATGAGGAATAGACATGATGATACATGACCTAATAATACAGCATTAAAACAAGATTTTTGATTGGTAGCTCCTCAATCCACTGTACTAAGCTCCTTAATTGCAAATGTTTTCAAGTTATCAAGAGACCTACTTGTCCTAATAATTTATTTTAACAACTGTCCTATAAGTAGAGAACTTTACTACCTCATTTCTGTGGAGGAAAGTGCAGGCAGTAAAGGCCGCCTGGGCTCCTGAGTTTGTTAGAAAACTCACTGCAAATCCAGCCCAGTTCAGTTTCAGTGCCCAGGAAATGTGGACATAGTTTAAGAAAGGGCAGTAATAATAGTTCAAAGAGTTTAAAAAAATAGGCCAAGCACGGTAGCTCACGCCTGTAATCCTAGCACTCTGGGAGGCCAAGGCGGGCGGATTGCTTGAGGCAGGAGTTCGAAACCAGCTGAGCAAGAGCAAGACCCGTCTCTACTATAAATAGAAAGAGTAATTGGCCCTAATATATATATAGAAAAATGAGCCAGGCATGGTGGCCCATGCCTGTAGTCCCAGCTACTCAGGAGGCTGAGGCAGGAAGATTGCTTGAGCCCAGGAGTTTGAGGTTGCTCTTAGCTAGGCTGATGCCACGGCACTCGTTCTAGCCTGGGCAACAAAGCGAGACTCTGTCTCAAAAGAAAAGAAAAGAGAAAAGAAAATGGCAGGTAATAGTTCAAAGAGGAGGAGAGAAACGGCATACAAATTAATAGAACATATCCTGCCATTTTCAGCCTGCAAAGACCTCTGTCTATTCTTTTCTTCCCTGCTTTTTGTTTACACCAAAACTCAGAAATGAGGTAGTGGATATAGGAGGAGAACCTGACTTTCATTTATATAATACTACAAAATGGAAGTAGGAAATCCTCTGTAAGACACCCGACTGTCCCTGGCCCTGGGATATTTGGAATTCACAATTTAGAAGCCAGAGATTTAGTTGTCCTTGATGGGGAGGTGCAGTTGGAAGGGGAAAGTTTCTATTTTGCTCTTCCCTGTTTTCAATCTTAAGGAGAACCAAACAATTTACATTTTAAAAGACTAACCTCTTGCCAAAACAACATTCATTGTAAGATTAAATATTCATTTGTTGTTAAAAAAATTGAAATTAAAGGAACATCTATAAACTCAACCTACAGAAATTACCACTGTTAACTGTTTAGCATTTTACTTTCCATTTCACCTGTGCCAAGGAATATGAAAAAATAAATCTTGAGAGATGTGGGGACTTCAGCTGATTTCAAACAGAGAACAAGTGTTTCTGTTCCTTAAAAACATCTATGTGGTTCAGTTGAGCTCCTCCCACTTTTGACTTGTGAGCGGCGATAAGAAGCTTTGTAAACTCACCTCTGTGACTTGATTATGAGATGCCATCAGTTAGAAGCAAGTCCTAAACTGCTGCAAGGTCCTAAACGAGGACTCCAGAAGAAATGAACAGCAAGTTTATCTTCACTTCACTTCTAGCTCTAGCCCTTCCAGGTAACAGTCCTGTCCCGCACCTGGAGCTGCACTGCTGGAGGAGGCAGCTGCTTTGAAACTGCGGCTGACATGCGTTTTATGTTGCAGGGCCTGGGCGAGCAGACTGGATCACATCTCAGGAAACAGAAGTATCTAGACCAGAAGGGGAAACTGTGGATCTGGTTTGTAATTATGGAACATCTGAGAGCTATGTTGCTCTCTACTGGTTTCGACAGTATCCAAACCAGGCACCGGAATATATTCTCTTCAGAGGGTGGGGATACTCTGGAAAAGGAGATGCCAATTTTGCCAGAGAAAGGTTTTCTTCGACGAGTACAGCAAGTACGATAAATTTGCACATCAGAAATCTGGTTCCTGCAGACCACTGCGCGCCCTGTGAGTACTGTGTCCGAGAGGCAGCAAGAGAGAACGATCCGATAAAGGAGCGTACAAAAGACACCGAGCACAGAAGAGAAGTGCACACACAGTAACACTGAGAGTGTTTTTTTGTTGAAGAACGATCGGGATGTAGGTTGGGAGACACGGATCAGGAGAGATTCTGTCGAGATAGAAGTGCAGGCGCAGTGGCTCACGCCGTAATGCCTTATAGCACCCTGGAGGCTGAGCGGGTTTAGATCGCGTCAAGGGTCAGGAGTTCGAAACGCGAGCCTGAGCAAGAGGCAAGAGCCCGCTTGGACGTATAAATGTAGAAAGAGAAAGTTAGCTGGAAACTAGAAGAGTACATAGAAAAGGATTAGGGCGGGCATGGGTGGCATGGCCTGTAGTCCAGCTACTTGGGAGCTGAGCAGGAGGAGTGCTTGAGCCAGGGGGGAGTTAATGCTGTGGCTAGGCGCACAGCACTCACTCTAGCCCTGAGACGAGACTCTGTCTTCAAAGAAAAAGAGACAGTAGTAGATTGTAGGGCAATATGCTTAAGGATTTAGATGCAGTCCGGAGAGTGGTAGGGATATGGAGGCACTGCTGCTGTAGAGCGTTTGGGGGCATTGTTTGATAGTTATTTGGGGTAAGTGCCGGCAGCGAGGGCGGGTAGGTCTAGAGCTCGAACTGCAGCTGATTGGTCTCTCGTCGTTGCACGTATGTCTGTCGAAGAAGCTGTGGCTATGCAGATCTGAGAGTCGGCATACGTGGATAGCCGACGCAGAAGAGAACGCGCCTGTAAAACCGTTAAGACATAAGAGTCCGAGACCGTAGGGAGGGCGAGACTAGATGAGGTGAATGCGGGATGTCAGCAGGGAGTCCGAGCAGGATCAGGCGAGGGAACAGGAAGAACCTGAGCTCTGGGGCTCAGCCTGAGCTTTGAACTGCTCTTCGGGGAAAGAGACAGGTAGGGCGCGCAGAAGACCAAAGGGAAGAGAAAGATGTTCAGCATTAGGTGGGTGGAGGGTGAGGAGAGAAATTGCTGGGATGACTATTGCCATGGTTCCATGCCAGCTCTGACCTGCCCAGGTGGAGACGAGAGGCCAAGGAAGACAGTGGAATCCTTGGCCTGCCTGCCGGCCGGGGCAGAAAAACACCTGCCACCTACTACATGGATGCGAGCCAAGCTTTTGACTCCTACCATTTAATGCAGACCTGGGCAAAGCCTAGCAACTTTGGACTGGTGATAGGTACAACGTCAAGGCGGAAGGAAGATTTAGAGCCCTCCTCAACACAAAGTCTGTGGTAGCACCAGCCCCTAACTGCCTCCAGGCTGGACATCTCAGGGCCCTGCGGTTCCCAGGGAAGCCTGCACCCCGCTGCCTGCTGAATTACTGCACCAGTCACTGGGGGAGCCTCGGAATAAGACAGCAAATGGGACCTTCAACAATATTTTCTTTTACCAAAAAAAGTCAAAAATACTGTGACTAGAAAACAATTTGCAAAGATGTGCTTAAAGCTAACTTTTTAAAAAAAACAAATCAAACTATGGAAGACTTTTTCATGAAAGCATAAAATAATTTAAGGAGAATAACATGTAGTTTCACTTAGTTTCTGTCTCTGGGAAGCTGTTATTTTTACATCCTGTTAGTAGCAACACAATATATGCACAATCCTTTACACAGTGAATGACTTGGAAAGGGATTTTAAGATTCATTAAAGAGTTTATACATTTTGTACTGCTTGGAACTGAATGGATACCTTCGATCTATTTCTCGGAATTTTATATTAAGGACTAATTTTAAATAGAAAAAAATATCTAGGCAAGAAGATACTCGTAAAAAGTTTTCAACCATTTAGAGGAATTTGGGTTTTTTTGTTTTTTTTTTTTTTGAGACAGAGCTCTCACTCCTGTGTTTGGGCTACGAATGCCGTGGCGGCGTCAGCGCTCACAGCAACTCAAACTCCGTGGGCTCAAGCGAGTCCGCCGCCTCAGCCCCCCAGTAGCTGGGATACAGGCATGTGCCCCCACTGCCCCTAGATTTTCTATATAATACACGTTAGTTGTGCGCATTAATTTCTTCTATTTCATAATAGAGACAGGGTCTTGCCTCTTGCTAAGCCTGAGTTCGAACTCTAACCTTGAACCAATCCGCCCCCCTCAGCCTCCCAGAGGGCTAGATTACAGCGTGAGCCACCGCGCCGCCCATTTAGCGGAATTTGGATACAGACTTGACTGATGGCTCTACAACCCAATGCTCTTGCATACATTAGTAAAATATGAGAGTCCCACCATCTAACCGTGGCCTACGCCTCAACAACTAATATCAGCAACAATTGAAGTATGTACGCTAACACACTGGA